TGCTTCTGTTTTACCTTTTGGTTTCTCCATCACGAGCCCTGGGATCCTAGCTGCCTGACCAGGGATCGAACCCGCACCCCCTGCGCTGAAAGGCGAAATCTTAACCACAGGACCGCCAGCAAAGTTTCTACACTTCAATTTTTTAAAGAAATTGTAAATGGTATTATAATAATTTTATTACTCACATGGTCATTACTAGTACCTAGACATACAATTGATTTTTGTGTGTTCATCTGTGATCTTATAAACTCACTTATTGGCTCTAGAAGTCCCTTTTGTAGCTTCCTTGGCTTTTTTTTTTTGGATAGACAGTCACACCTCTACAAACAGAGACAGGTTTAACCCTTCCTGTTTCATCTGCATGCCTTTTATTTCCATTTCTTGCCTTTGTTGCACTGACTGGAACGTTGGGCTCTATCCTGACAAACAGTGGTGAGAGCAGACATTCTTGCTGTGTTTGTCTTTAAACCCATTTTGTCGTTGTTCAGTTGCTCAGTTGTGTCCGACTCTCTGTGACCCCACGGACTGCAGCGCACCAGGCTTCCTTGTCCTTCACCGTCTCCCGGAGCTTACTCAAACTCATGTTTGAGTCGGTGATGCCATCCATCCATCTCATCCTCTGTCATCCTCTTCTCCTGCTTTCTATCTTTCCCAGCAACAGGGTCTTTTCCAGTGAGTCAGCTCTTCTCATCAGGTGGTCAAAGTATTGAAGCTTTAGTAAATTAAACCCATTTACTGAGATCTTAATTTCAGTAATTATACTTTTACTTCTACGATTTCTAACTGGCTCTTTTAAAAACTTCCTATATAATATTTTTATAATATAAAAATGGTATGATATAAAATATTTATGTATTTTATGCATCTGGTTTTCAGTTTTTAGACATAATTTTATGTGGTTTGAGTATTTTGTTGTTGTTGTTTAGTCGCTGAGTCATATCCGACTCTTTGCAACCCCAGGGACTGTAGCCCACCAGGCTCCTCTGTCCATGGGATTCTCCAGGCAAGAGCACTGCAGTGGGTTGTCATCTTGAGCTTATTACGTGCAGTTGTTTTGGAGCCTCAGCGGGCCTCTCCTGTGATCTGTTTCTGCTGTTTCTTATGCATATTGCTGTATTCTGTGCCTGGCTACCTCTGAGGGTGTAGAGACTTGATAATATGGTTTGCAGAAATATTTCGAAGCCTGGGAGGATGAAATCCTTCTGGGGGAAGATCAGTGTTCACTGCTATCAGTTACATGGGCGTGCTAGCAATCTGGGATCCCCTTAAAGTGATTTCAGGATTTGGGTGTCTCTGGGCCCCCAGGGGAAGCAGAACTGAGCTGCAGGGCCTCATCCTTATTCTCCTGGTGCAGCCTTCGGAGTCCCCATCAGTAACGGGGGCTGCATATCCCTCCCTCCCGTGGTCCTGGACTCCCACGCCTCCCCCCAGCCTGGCCCATCCTCTCAGCCCCTTTCAGAATCAGTAAGTTCCCAGGGAAAAAGCAACCCAAGCCACCTCCTCTTTCTGAGCTTGTTTTCTTTCAGATCTTGAAGTCAAAATTCTCTGCTACCTTGTCAGCTCTCTAGGGCCCTCAGATAGCTTTAAAAAATACACGTGGCCTACGGCTTCCAGCTGCTCTCACGGGCTGGGCAGGGGCTTGGGGTGCAGTCTGATCACTGGAGGGGCATGGTGGGGTGTGCCTTTCAGACGGGTGAAACAAAGGCCTATTTGAATGCTTGCGGTACTGACCTAGCAGAGGGGGAAACCCCCAATATGAGATTGAAGGGGATGTTGTCACAGGCAACGGGGATGGGATCTTGAGATAGGACTCAGCGTGGACAGAGCCTGGCTGCTTCGTTTTGTGGAGGCTCGGGGCCGAGGTGGCGTGAGGACAGTCGTCCCGCCAGGACCCCTTGGCCTGCTCCCAGGGTGGAGGCAGGTGTCCCTACTTCCTGCAGACATCTCTCTCGGGGAGGAAGTAGTGTCTGTCCAGTATGGACCGCGGGCTCTTCTTCCTCGCTAAGGAAGCGCTGGTCGGCTGTACCCAGCGGCTCAGGGGCCGAGCAGGAGAGGAAGGGGGTACAGAGAAGCGGGGCGGGACCCAGCACTGCTCAGCTTCTCCACCATCGTCGCTGACAGCCTCCAGCCTATGACGTCCTGCCGGAGAGCATCATTTCCATGCCCAGACCCTACTGTCCCCCAGGACAGATTGATCTTGTCTCTCCTGTGCCCCCGGCCTGACCACAGCTCCCCGCTGCCCATGGGATCAAGTTTGAGACATTCAACTGGGCACCTGAGATCCTGAGGCCTCTGGAGCTACCACTGTACTTTCTCACATTGGCACCCCTGTCGGCAGCTGGGGCCGGAGCTGACCCTGATATGGGGGAAGGGACCACTGGGAGACAGAAGGCAGCTTTCCAGCAGAATCTTTATTCAAAAGGTTGTTTTGTCCCCTCCCCAGCACCAAGGCAGGGAGGGTTGTGTGTGTGTGTGTGAGTGTGCATATGTGTGGGCATGAGGGTGCATCCAGGCCTGGCCCTCCTTGCCTGAAAACAGGGGCATGAAAGACCCTCCCCACAGCATCTCCAAAGATCCCCAATGTGCCCCAAAGATGTGCCTGAAGCAGCAAAACAGTGACGTCAACCCAGTCCATCCCCCAACCTTCGCCTGGTCCTTTTGTCTGCTCTAGCCAGGGAGCTGGGTGGGGGTGTGGGGGAGGTTTGGGGAGGAGGAGGGTGTATGCTGAGAGCCTGGACCTTGGAGTGGGGCTCAAGTCGGGTGGGCTGGCAGGAGAGTTTGTCTAGCACCTGAGCCGGAAACTCCCGAGCTGAGTTGGACCCGGCCAGAGGGCTGCCACTGCTCCGGGCCAGTCGGGAATGATGCCGTTGAAGACTGGGGGAAAGAGGCTCCAGCATGGCCCCCCTTGTATTGGAGGCACAGAGCCCTATTTGCCCAGTAAGCGTGTCTGTCCCTGCTGGAGCACGGAGGCTGGTCCTCCACCCTGAACCCACCAGCCTGAGGGTGGCCCCACTGTTGGGGGGCTCTCTTTCGAGCGGGGCCCGGAAACCCGCTGACCAGCAGAGCCGCCCTCTGCCTGCGTCGTCCACAGGCACGGGTGGGGATGGCGCTGAGTCCCCAGCAACTGTCACTGACCCGCCCGCCACCCACCAGTGCGCCCCTGGGCGGCTCTGTCCGCTTTCCCAGCTGGTTCTTGCCTTCTGAGAGACAGTCGTCATCTGCCCTCTCGATCTGTCCTTGGCTCTGGACCCTCTGAAGCTTTCTGGGGGGACCCTGTGTGACCGGCTGCCCCTAACGCCACCCCGGGCAGCTCCTCAACTGAGACCCCCCAGGCCCTGGGGGTCCACCCTCCCTGACAACAGATGTGAGCGCAGCTGCCCCAGGGGACATGGTGAAACATGAAATTTCAGGACAGGGAAGAGTTGATGTGACACTCCTTTATTAAAACCTAAGGACATCTTTATAAAAACTACAGTATATAAAGACAAAAGCAGTGCAACAGCGGTCCGTGAAAAACACATTATTGTTATTACATTATATTTTATTATTATTAGGAATATTATTGGTTTTTGGTTTTCCCGGTTAACAGCTCTCAGAGAGACCCCATGCCTGTGCACGTGAAACGGGGGTTTACAGGAGAGAGACCAGTCTGTCTGTGCCCTTGTCTGGCTGGGGGCAAGGGGTCCCGCCTGGTAAGGGGCACTGGGCCCCTCACCCTCGCAGTCCCCTCTTAGTTACTGCCCATCACCTAGAGTCTAACTGGTTAGCTGACCGTGACATAGCCCACTAGCTTTAACCCAGAAGATGGGAAGAGACAGGAAGGAGCTGAGGTGAGAACCCGAGGTGAGGTTCCAAGAAGAGATGCTCGCGGGGTCACCAGTTTGGGTCCAGTTGCGGCCATGCCGGATTCCTGCAGAATCCATGGCATCTGCAGCCTTTGGTCACAGCGTGGGGACCCTCCAGAGGGCTCTCTGGCTTCGATGGGATCCTGCACATTTCAGAGAGCCGTTTAGGGCAATTCACAGGGCAGCTCACTGCACCAATCCAGGGGTGGCTGTTCACAGCGCTGTCTATAGAAATGGGGCCCCCTGGAGGCGGGCACTGCAGCAGCCCTGAATTTCCGTCTGTCAAGGGCACATGGGTCAGGGCTTTGATGGGAAGATAGGAGTTTTAGGTACAGTGTAACCGATAGTTAAAGCCGCTGACTCACCAAGCATCTATCTAGCACCAACTATCTGGTGGCATCTTGGACTGGAGGCTTGGGGGCGGGGCAAAGGGGGGGAAACAATGTCACCTCCAAGGTCACTTATTCTCCCTGTGGATTTGAGCATTCCTAACCATCAGGCACAGCAAGTCATTTCACAGGGGTTCCCAGCCTCTCCCTTGAACACGGCGGGTTCCCCCGACTTCTCCATCTGCAGCAGGAACTGTTCCCAGAGGGCGGCTGGGTAAGTTTTTGTTGAACAGATGAATGAATGCATGTATGAGCAAAATGGATTTTCTAGAATCTTCTGTCTCACCTGACTGCTTAACTCAACTCTTGAGTTTTCAGGCCACGGGCCCCAAAGCTGCCTACGATCACTTAAGTACCACCTGGTGCTGCATTTATGCCCTCAAGAGGAGCTGGGGAGCTTGGAGTCAGTCACACGGTGTGGTATGGATTTTCCAGAGGGGACAGGACATCACCCCAGCCTGGTGGTGAGTTCTGGGGCTGCAGGTGGCAGTGACCAGAGTGTCATCCAGTCACTGGGTGGGTGGCTGCCCTGCTGACCTTTCAGAAGGCCACTGGGAACAGGCAGACACTACCTGCTTACTGCGTACTGGTGAGCAGTAAGATAAGAATCCCCCAAAGTTGCCGCAGAGAGGGGGACCCCCCCAGATGTCTCTGCAATGACGGCTGCCCCGCAACATTGACAAGCAACGCTGCCAGCATCTCTGCTTCAGGCTGTAGGGTCAACTGGGGTCACTGCCGAATCTGCAAATTCACCTCTCAGGACCACCTAGGGCAAGACTCCTCCTATTGGTGGGGGCCAATCAGCCAAGCTGAAGAAATGAAAATAAACCAATAAACAATTTTTAAAAGCCTGAGACTCTGGGAAACTTGTCTTCTTTCATGGCATGACCTCCAGTAGACACACTAATGGGCTGTCAGAGGAGCCAGGAGACAGGGCTTGAGCAGGGATTGTGGTCTGGAGAGACAGCCAAGGGCTGGGACCCCAGCCTGGTGTGGGCAGGGCTCTGGGCATCTGCTGGGTGCGGGGAGATGGTGCCAGTTCTGGCCACACCCATAATCTCGGTGCAATGGCCTCAAGGGAGCCAGGAACCTTTTCTTAAGAAGACTGCCAACCCCACTCTTGGTCGTGTTTTCCCTGATACCCCCAAGTCCTTTCCAGCCCGGGGGCTGAACTTGCCTGAAGGTTTTGGATGAAGAAGGGAAATGCCACCACCCCAGGAACACTAGCTGCCTACCTGCTATTTCACTATAAAGCATCAGAGAGACAGGCTCTACCTGCAGATTCATGTGTGTGTGCACATGTGTGTGTGTGTGTGTGCACGTGTGTGTGTGTGTGTGTTTTCAGTTAAGGCCTATTTCCTATAGGTCCCGGTCAACATCAGATGTTGGGCTGGCATCTGGCAGTCCCGGGCCCTCCTGTATAGCAGGCTGCTCCTCGAGCTGCAGGGGGATCTCTGAGGTTCAGGCAAGGGCAGAGAGACCCACAGATGCTACCAGGTATTGGTTCTGCGTAGAGATTCCAAAACGCACAATTACACTGAACACAGACAAGAAGGAAAGCATAAAACTGCTCGTGATAACACACAGTTCCCAGGGGGAAAAAGTCCTTATGAATACAAGGGGTTAAGGACAGATTCCTCAGTGGATATATTGCCATTCTTCTTTCTCTTCTTTTTTGCTTTTCTTTCCATAGTATTATTATTGTTGTTGTTATTTTTGCAAAGTATGTGGTAATAGCCAGAAGCTCACAGTAAAAAGTAAAAGTAGGCAGCTTGAAAAAACAGGTTTGGGAGTCACTAAAAAGCACTAAGTCTGTAAATCTCTACTTGAACCTGCCACTACCCTGAGCATCATCTCAGGGGTCTTCTACTTACTGGCACATCTATCTGCCATGGTAGGATGGGACAGGTTTTTGCCAGGCCCATCTCCTGCGGGCTTTGAGGACCTCTGGACACTGGGAGGGACTGAACCGCATGCCTGCCTCTCAGATGGGCATTCACACCACCCACACAGCCCTCACCCCTCGATCACTCCAGCCACGGCCCCCACCCCACACACTGGACAGGTGAACCTCAGAGAGGTGAAGGGACTTGCCCAAGAGCACCCAGTGGAGAAGGAGCAGGGCTGTGGGTCCCCACGCTCTGTCCTCTGCGTCCCAGGCTGCCCCGTTGCTTTGCTAAGTCTGTGATGGTTGCTGAGCTGCATGGTGAGGGGCCACCTGCCTACAACAGAGTGTTCTGATCCCTCACCGGCTGCAACCGTAAACACCCAAGGGGTCATCAGTCCCTCCTGGAGAGACCTCTGTGGGGCCAGGAGCAGCGTCCTGCAAGTTCTCAGGCTGGGCGACACAATCAGGGGACCATAGCCCTTGCTGGTCTCCGTGACTGTGGCCCGGGCCCAGCGTTCGTGGCAGGCAGGCAGGGCCACCAGCTCCCTCTTGGCAGAGGAAGGGTCTCTGTGTGAACAGGTGCACGAGCTGCATCTGGAACCTCAGGAAGCTGGAGATGCAAGCCCCTTAAATACCTGGTCCAACCCCTTCCTTTTAGAGATGGGGCAACGGACAGTAGAGAAGGCACGGGACTTGCCCGAGGTCACCCTGATCTTCCTACAGAGCGGATGTCAGAGTCTGGGCCTGTGCCCGACTCCCTCCCCCAGGCTGGGTTTCTCTGACCCCCAGGGCTCTGTCCATGGGATGCAGGTGTGGGCTGATCCAGCTGTGCCGAATGGCTGCTGAGCAACCCTCTGTGGCAACAGCTGCTCCGCTTGGACAAGGCTCTGGGGCAGGTCCAGGGATGACTCAGCATCCAGGGTGAAGGAAGCAGTGCTGATCCCTAAGCAAGACCCCAGACAGAGGTTCTCCAGCGTGGCCTACGCCAATCGGTATCCCTGGGCTCTGGCAGCACTGTCTGAGGAGACCAGACTCAAGCCATAGGTCTGGGTCTTCCTCAGCTTGCCCTTGTGACCTTGGGCCAGTCACCTGACACATCTGAGTCTCAGTATCCTAGTTCATGGAATGGGAGGAATCCCTTCTCCACGGGGCTGATGAGCCAGGCTGGATGCGGAATGCTTGATGCCCTTAAAATGTCCTCCTGCTTTATCAGAGGGTGGGTGTTATATCTGCCCAGCTTCAGGTGTCTCTCAGTGAACCACAGTGTCTGGGCTCTCACTTGCCTCTCTTCCCACCTTTCTTCTGCATCCCTGCCAACCTGACTTTCTTTTGGTTCCTTGAGATCATCAAGCCAATTGCTGCCCCGGGGTCTTTGCACTAGCTGTGCCCTCTGCCTGGGAAGTTCTTCTATCCTCAATGTCCACGGCTGGCTCTTGCTTATCATTCAGGTCTGGGCTGAACCTGCTCAGCAAGGCCTTCCCAGACTGGTCAAACTTAACAGGACCCTCATGAACACCGTTTTGATTGAATTCTTGGCTTAGGGCTCACTGCTATTACTACCTTCCTATTCACTGGTCATTTCTCCCCTGTCCTCTCCCCCAGCTAGGGCACCAGTACCACGAGGCTGCCTGCTCTCTGCCACATCTGATGGATGGAGGGTCCGTTGGAGACACTGGGTCTAGCTGAGTAAAGGTACTTGAGCAGAGGAGCAGGGACCCACCCAGCTGGGTGCCGGGGGAGATTCTGGCATCGCTAATACCAGTGGAATGAGGGTGTCTACACTGCCAGGGTGGCCTTCAGGGATTTATGTGATCATTTCCCAGATCATGCTCTTCTATGTGTGCGCCCAGGGGCAGTGGGGTGGATGGCGGTGGTGGTGAACTCAGTGGACAGATATTATGAACGTCCAGGTTTGCATGGAAGTCTTGCCTTAAATGGGAAGGGCTTCTAGAACTTTCCCTCCTCAGTTTCCAGAGTGCTCATCACTCTGTCCAGCAAAGATCTGTGTGTCTGTTTCTTCCTTCTGGGGGCAAGGAGGAGGCCTCTCTGACTCATCTCCTTTCCAGATTGCTGCCCAGCAAGGAGCCTGGAATACAGTAGGTGCTTAAACAGAATGTGCCGTAAGAGGGTCCTGGGGCAGCAGTGGTGGAAAGCTTGGGACAATGGCCCATCCACCAAGAAGTCACTGGGGAGATGTTCCAGGGACTGTACTGGGGGCCCTGGGCTGGGGAGCTTTGACTTTGGGTTCTTAGACCTCTGAGATCAAGCCGAGCACTGGTCTCCTCCTGGCTGTGAGACCCAGGCCATTTCTGCAGGGCGTTCATCCTACTCACTTCCCAAGTGATGAGAGTGGGTGTGTGTGAAGATAGTCAACCTACTGCCTGCCCCGTAGACGGCCTGAGATGTGTCTCTCATTATCACTGTCATGACGGGGAAAAACTTCCATATGAACGCATCCCCACTGGCATTTCTGCATCCCAACCACCCCAGGAGGATGTGCCACACAGCACACCCAGTGGGGCTGCACCTCATGCTTGCCAACTCCATCTGGCTCACAGCCGCCAGCAGGAGCTGGCCGGGACTCCCACCACAAGGGGACCCAGGTCCATCAGAGAACTTGGGGGACCCTGATAAAAGCAATCGAACAAAAAGACACCCCTAATCATACACACGCACACACACTCACGCACACTCACATTCAAAATTCTGACACAGATAGGCCCACAGGCCACTACTGGAGGGAGCAAGGGGAAGGGAACCACGGGTAGGATGCACAGGCCTGAATCCTTCTGCTTGACCTGGCCTGAGCAGCCATGTCGGTCATCCTGAGTCTGCAATGGTGCCACCTCTCAGAAGCCACCAGCCCAAAGTGGGACTATTGCTCGCAGACGGGTGGCTCAGAAGCCCCTTCCTGCACGTTGGCCTCCCACCGCTGTTTGCTCCTAGTCTTAGAAGTCCAAGGAAGGGGGTTTGGGCACAGGTAGCATTTTCTCCTCCACCACCGCCACGGCCGTCTTGGCTCTCCCTGGCGTCTTGAAGTTGTTCTTCTTGGAGGCTGAGCCAGGTGCTTTGGGTCTCACCTCCCCCATCCTGAGGCACGGCAAAAGGGTTCTCTAGGAAAGCAGAAGGGAACAAAATATCACATGGTGTCTGCTCCATGGGGACATTTCTGTCTGACCTCAGTGACAGGAGAAGCCAGGTTTTTCTCTGCACACATGCCATCTTTGTCTCCTAGACACTGAGAATTGTTTGACTTTAAGGCTGGAAGCAAGGAAAGCAAGTCTGCCATCACTATGGTTCCATACAGCACTACTGCCTCTGAGTGAGGGAAGTTGCTCAGTCGTGTCTGACTCTTTGCGACCCCATGGACTGTAGCCTCCAGGCTCCTCTGTCCGTGGAATTTTCCTGGCAAGGATACTGGAGTAGGTTGCCATTTCCTTCTCCAGGGCATCTTCCCCATCTAGCAATTGAACCCAGGTCTCCCACACTGCAGGCAGACTCTTTACCATCTGAGTCACCAGGGAAGCCTCTGGCCTAAGCAATAAGATAAGAAAAAATCATAAAGAGTCGAGAATGAAAGAGAAAAATCCTAATTACCATTATCAGCAAATCACGTACACAAAAAACCCAAGAGAATCAACAAGCTAATTATTAGAACACAGGGTGCAGATATAAAGATAAAACTTTCAGTCTGTAAGACATCAGATCAACTTACAAAAACCAATAGTGTTTTTCTGCCTCAGTGATTGCCAGGGTTATCATAATGTCTTGGCTTACGACAGAGCCAGTTAATACTTATAATTTTCAATGCTGTTCCCCTTTCATCCTCAAAAGTACTTTACTTTGGACATTAACCCATATGGTCACCCTTGTTATAACAAATAGAAGATATTAAGAACAGATCCCGATACACCCATAATA